ACCCCCTCCTTATTCCTGCAATATACTTGTACCTTTCGCTGCTGGCGTGTCGTACGATCTTTCGCCGTGGTGTCTACACTAATCCTTCGAGACTGTTTCTCGAGGGTTAGTTTGGTACTCATTTGGCTTGCTAGGTATTCGTCCCTTCCTAATCTCCCCGGACCCAACGGTGCAGCTCCGGTGGTAAGCTTCCATCAATACATTTCTCCATCATGCTAGCCGTCAGTTCCCCATGCATCTCCTCAGTCTTGGAACCCTCGCTAGCTCGAGGGGGATTGGCCAATACCCGAACACCATGGGGTCAGAGTGTAGCTAATAAGCTACCCCATCACGCCAGCTCTGGAATAAAGACCCACAGGCGGAACGCCTCTGGCACCGCGGACATAGTCACCATTTACTTGGCCAGCCAACATATCTCCCAACACGGGACGAATCATGTTCAGCCGATATTGATATTTCTTCGGAAACGTATTCTCGGTTACATCTCCCGGCAGCAGTTCTCCCGTCAACTGTGAAAATGGGGAAGAAAGTTCCGCAATGTACCTTAGTGTGCGGTAGTGTAGTCACAAGTGAGTAATTCTCCTCCAGGTATCATAATCGCTGTGATGCCGCGCTCTAGGACTAACCGGACGGATAAAGCGCATCACAAAACAAAACGCCTCACTTCAGAGCGATACTCCTAGCATCTCTGACAATAAATATCACGTGAAAATGTCAATGCGTACTCGGGTGTGGACGTGAGATACCGGACAGCCAGGGATTCTATAGGCCTGACCGTTCTTGCCCTCATAGGAAATAACGGAATGAGTCTGGCATGAGAATTGCTTGAACAAGCAAGAAGCTTTGACACCTCTAATCCCTGGCTGTCCCGTATCCCACGTCCATACCCGAGTATATACAAGCACCATGTCCCTTTTGACCCTTGGTACTGGTACGACCCGGAAGAGACCCGTGCCCCCCCAACACACCACACAGCTAAGTGCAGATTGCACCAGTGTACCGTACGTTATGGTAGGGTACGGCATCATAGCAAGGAGAATGGAGCATGCATACATATACTGTATATATGTACTAGTCAATTAGAAATTTCTATCCCAGACAGAAGTTAGAGGCAGATAATAATAATAATAATGAAAAAGATAAAAAGTGTCCGGGTTTGGCCTGAGGACGGTGCGATAATTTTTCTATAACTGTAATGTCGCGATGTCTTAGAGATATAATACGCACCGGTACCAGTGCCGTATACCTCGACGATCCAAGGGCGTGAGATGACCTACGGTATCCAGTCACGATTTCCAGATGGCCTCCAGTCTCTAATCCTGTCAGAGTCGCCTCCCGACTCCGATCAGATGGATAGATATAATGTCAAGATGGCAGAATAAGGCGCGTAACTGGTGAATATCCCCTCCTCGTGAGCGGCAGCGGGCTCAGCAACACGATCTTCTACAGCACCAAGTCGTTCACCAACGAAAAGAAAGAACTTCAAGAATTGGTAACCAAAAACCCAGAAAGGGAGGGAAAGGGGAGGGAGGGGGGGTGATGTACAGCACTCGTACGAAAGCCCTCATCATGCACAGAGCAAGTATCGCCTGGTGACATCCGCAGTATCATACCATAGAACTCTCGATATAGGAAACCTTCATACCATACAAGAAAGAAGAGCTGTGGGAGAAACCCGAGACCCACTTATCCAATCGGGAGCAAAAAAAAAAAAAGGAAAAGAGTTCTGGCAATATTTGTGCCGACAGCTCCGGATACCCTTATGGGGATCGGGCGGGTAGGTAGAGACGTATGTGCTACCGAAGGTGATTTCTAGATTTACAGTCCCCCATGACTTTCGTGTTTAAAATAACAGTCGTCAAGGCCGTTTCTTCTTCAAAACCTGCTAATTACCGATCATACCGAAGCGAGGTGATTCTCCTCCTTCCTTTCCATCTACAGTATGCAATGCATAGCCGTTCCGTTCCGTACCCTCTATCAGCCCGCAATCTCCCTTCGCGTATCTCTAGATCCTAGTTTAGACAGAGCTATATATTTTTTTCTTTTTTCCCTCTCCCTTCCGCATCCAATTAATTGCGAGGATGGTATCCAAGGAGGCGGGCGGAGGTATCTATTGAGCTGATTCTGTCGGCGAGTTCTGGTTGGTAATCCCTTCGCTTTCGGTCCGCGGGTCCGTAGCTCCGTCCTCCACTACGGGCACGAGTACATCGTTGCCTTCGCCGCCACTACCTTCGCCCGCATTCAAGCTCTCGTTCCCCCGTATCCCCTCGTCGGTCCTAACCGCACTTCCGAGTACTAGTACATCGTTGTGCGGATCCTGACCATCTACCCTCAGACTCACAATTGGTACTAGCATGCTGTTCCCGCCACCAACAGCGGAACCTTCCACCTCCCCACCCACACCAGCCATCGTGTTTTCCGCATCCGCAAGCTTCTTCGCACTGACACGCCATTAGCCTCCTCCCTCCTCCCCACCCCCCACCCTCCGATCAGGAACAGACTCACATCCGATCCTTCCTTCTCCTCTCCGCCCTCGTCTCTCCAGGTGGGTATTTTGACGGCCGCCCGGTTCTCGGCCGGGGCTTGAGTTCCTCAAACTCTTTCCAGCGCTGAATAATCCTCTGGGCCTCGCTCTTGGATATACCGATTTCCTCACCGATGGCACGGTAGGACTTCCCCGCAGCGTGTTTTTCGATTACTTTGACGCGCTCAACGAGTGTTGCCTCGCGACGCTTTCCCGTTGTGGGGTCTTTAGGCATCTTATTTTTTTAAAGGAAATAATTTAGTTGTGAAAGTCGGGAAAAGAAAGGTAGGGGAAATGAGGAGGGGGTGAGTTAGGGCGATCGGCGAGGAGGAGTGGAGATGATGTTTTCTTGTCGTGCTGTCCTGCGCGTCCTGTTAGTTATGACTGGGATTGGCGCTGTTGCCATGGTTTGGGGGATAAGTTATGGTACATGGCAGTGTGAGGAGTGAGCTAAGTTACGGTACCAGACATCTGACGTAGAGTTTTCGAGTGAGAGATCGTGATGGGATTGGCTTGGCGGTGCCCAATACCATTGAGCTCTCTGAGATCTGTCGTCCCTTGCGAAGTGGACCCAGGCAAGTCCGGGTCCGCGTTGCGGTGGAAAGGATGTGACGGCAGTCCTTAGTTTTCGTCAGCGAGACTATCGCCGGTCACCGTGGCATTGAGGGATGTTGATCAAGAAAGCTAACCACCATTGCTACCCCTCCCCAGGCGCTTCCTCAGCACCCCTCTCCAATTGGAGTGTTGTCTTTCTTTTCCCTCCAGCTCTGATATGACGGTATTAGGATTTGTGCTTTCCAAGAGAAAATACGGTTGCGGTTAACAATGGGGGGAGTAGAGGGCTAAGGGAACTGTCGGGGCTTCTCTGATACTAGTTTGGACGTTTGCGCTCGCATCGGCGTTGACTCAGGTTATCCCTTGACCACTATTTAACCTCACGTAACAGCTTCGGGGTGACGATGGAATACATATGGACTGCGGTGGAACAACCCCTAAACCGACCCCACGAAAAGCCTATTTCCGAAACTCAACAAGAGTCCATCACTCCAGGTACAATTTTCGGTTCCGTAATAGCATCCCTAGTTAGATAGAGGGGAAGAAGGGGCGCTCGGGGTTCCTATAGGCGCTAAAACAAAAATTTATCCGCCAAAGTTACTGAAAGGTTTGGGGAGGCCCATGGCGGCCGTGAAGGGGTTGAGAGAGCGGGACGACATGCTAGGGAAAAATTGCATGAGAATTGCCTCTTTTTAGCTTTGTGGACTCGCCATTGTTAGCGTTCCAGTTGCAATCTTTCCATAGCTACTTATTCCCATCCCTTGTTGGTCATAACTCCCCTTAATCATACAAAATCACTCATGCCCGTCTTCAGCCCTTATTCCGCCATAACGCATACGTTGAGAATCCATTCACCCAGTAACGGTGTTTTCTCGCAGGAGGGACTGGGGGGCGCCCATGAGAGCATCATATCACAACACTACAGACCCGAAATCGTTTCCAGACAAAACTCGTGCTCCAATTCTCCAATCTGCCGACTCCAGAGATGTTTTGCGAGTATCGTAATAAAGTACCTCCCCAAAAGTGTTGGTGAAATGACCTTTTTACACCAAAAATTGGCAGG